GACCACCACTGGCGGCAGCCACCGTGGCTACGCCACCCAGCCGCGACTGCCGCCCAAAAACAGCCCCAAAAACATTTTTTTTTTTTTTAGATTTAATTTAATTAAACAACATTTGTTATAATTAAATTAAATTGGTCCAATTAATTTTAAAATTAAATCACATTCAATCTTAAAATTAGGGTTCTTCATGAAATTAATTCCCAATTCAATTTAACACTTAAATTAAATAGTTGATCATGCAAAATTCATAATTTATACAAGAAATCAAATTAATTAAATTCATGAAACATAACACAATCAAAATAATTCAAAAACCACAACACAAAATCAAAACTTTAGGGTTAAGGTTTCGAAATTTTTCAAATTAGAGTTTGGGTGGTCGAAATTTTCGAACAAAAGGGGAAAAATTCGGTCCAATTCTAGGCTAAAATCGAGCAAAATAAATCAACTTTAATGATTCCATATGTTAAATCACATTTAAAATAATAATTGCCCCATAATTAAATTATTCTCCCTCTTAATTGAATTAAAAATTGTGGACATTAAGGAATTATAATCAATATGTATATATGCATTAGGCTAACTGATACCACTGTAGGACTTTAGATACTATAAGCGGAATTGCATGAATCATATTCATAAGCATCAAATAACCAAGATCTATGCATAACACACAAAGAACACATAATTATACCTTTTAAGCGTGATTCCACGAGTGATCAAGCAAGAACTATAAGGAGAACGTAACTAGAACCCCAAACGTGATTCCTCTACTTGGTCTATGGGCAAGGACTAAACCTCCACTAATGCTAGTTAGTTGTGATTGAAAACTTTCAATCAACCTTCTACGGAGAGGAGAGGAACGAACAAGCCACGAACCACCACACCACCACCAAGTACCACCTTGGCTGGCGTCCGTACTGTAAGGATAGGGAGGAGGAGAGAGAGAAGGGCGTGCGTGAGAGAGAGAGAAAGAGAGATTAGGGTTAGGGAGCTTGGTTGCTTGCTTCACAATTCACTGTATGGGTAAATTATGACTTGTCATCAAAACCTAGGCAAGGACTCTATTTATATATCCCATACATAACTAGAGTCCATGTGAAGCCCAAACTCCTAATCCAATTCAATCTACTTTAGCCTTACTACTCACATGGCTTGTCATTACCTCATGAGGCCCATTAATGGGCTTCATACTTGTTCAATCCAATACCCTTGTGTGTGACCTCATAGGATCCATTCTATTGGATTTTGGACTATTTGACTAGCCCATAGATCATTTATAATATCTAGCAACAGACAATGACGACCCAAAAGAATGAACTAATTATCTCCATAATAGTGATCCTTGATATATCTAGTAATTGCACTTGACGAAGACATAAATCTTTCAGAACTAACTAAAGATATATACCAAAAACTATGGTAACTAAATATAAAGATATACATAATATAAATAATTATAGAATATATTGTAAATATATTCTAACACACCCCGTCAGTCGAAGCGGGAGGTTCTCGTATGCTTAGACTATCCCTGAAATCATTAAATAAAACGCGTGGAAGCCCTTTCGTAAAAATATCTGCAATCTAGTAACGGGACGATACATGAAGCATACGAACTTCGCCACGAGCCACCTTCTCACGGACGAAGTGAATATCCATCTCAATGTGTTTAGTGCGTTGATGTTGTACTAGATTACCGGATAAGTATATTGCAATCACATAGTCACATTGTAACAATAAACCAGAGTAGCCTTTTGAATAGGACAATGCAACTCTAGAAGCAAGTTTCGGATCCAACATGAATCAAAAACAACATTAGCAATACCCCTGTACTCCGCCTCAGCACTACTATGGGATAAAGGGGGTTGCCGTTTAGAAGATCAAGAAATCAGATTATCTCCAAGAAACACACAATAACCAGATGTCGAACGACGAGTGTCGGGACAACCTCCCCAATCTGCATCTGTGTAAGAGACAATACGAGCAATATTGGACTTATATAAGTGGAGACCAAAAGATAAAATACCCTGAATATAGCGTATTATGCACTTAAGTGCACTCATATGCTCATTAGTCGGAGCATGCGTATGAAGACAGATTTGCTGCACAACATAAGAAATGTCGGGCCTAGTGAAGGTGAGATACTAAAGAGCACCTGCAAGACTACGATACTTAGTCGGATAATCATACGGGGTATCTGCGCTGGCACCAAGTTTGGGCTTATTATCAACAGGAGTAAGGCAGGGGTTGCAATTAGTCATTCTGGCACGTTCAATGATATAAGCAGCATACTGTGACTGGAATAAGAACAGACCATGGGCATGACGAGTGACTGCAATACCCAAAAAGAAACTCAAAGGACCAAGATCCTTCATAGCAAATTCAGATGCCAAGAGAGTCACAATATACTTACAAAGACAGTCAGAAGAAGCAGTAAGTATAATATCATCAACATATAACAGAATATAAGCCATTTTAGAACCATTCTTGTATATGAATAAAGAGTTATCTAACTTACTGTGAGAAAACCCAATGGTAGCAACAAAATCAGCAAATCTTTGATACCAAGCTCTAGCAGCTTGTTTAAGACCGTATAAGGACTTCTTTAAAAGGCAAACATGATCTGGAAATTTTTGTCATGAAATCCCATGGGTTGATGCATATAAACTGTTTCATTTAGATGACCATGTAAGAAAGCATTCTTAACATCCACTTGATGAATATGCCAAGATTTAGAGAGGGCAATGCTGAAAACCGTTCTAATGGTGGCCGGTTTGACCACGAGGCTAAATGTGTCATCACAATCAACTCCCTGCTGCTGAGTTTTCCCATCACCTACAAGACGAGTGCTCAAAAGAACCGTCAGATTTATGTTTATGACGAAAAATCCACATTGACTGAATAACATTCACATTAGGCGGCCTTGGCAGTAATTCCCAAGTCTTATTTTCAATTAAAGTATTAAACTCATCCAACATTGCATTTTTCCAATTTTGATCATGAAGAGCACTAATAGGATTTTTCGGGATAGGTGATATATCCGTATTAGTGGAGATGTGGAGATTAGAGAAATATTTTGGATTTGGTTTGTATATGTCATTGTCTGCACGTGTGGTCATGCGGTGGGACACGGGAATAGTGGGTGCAGATTGTGGATTTGAGGGTCAAGGAGTTGGGTCAGCTAAGTTAGGAAGGTCCAAGATAGGCGTTGGGTTGCTACTGGGCCGTGAGTGAGGTTGGCCCATGGGAGAAGTGATTAGAGAAGAATTATGAGTTAAGGGTGACTCACGGATTGGGCCTTTGTGGGAGTGCGGCCCAGGTGCTGGAGAAGAAGATTCGGTGTGTGTATTTTGGCCAAATTCCGTGTTTGTTGGATTTTGGTGTTGCAGAATTAAATTCAATATAGCTGGATTGAAATTATCACCAAAGCAATCATAATAATAAGAGGGAGTGGTTTTGTGAATGTTTGAAAACGGAAACTCATTTTCAACAAAACGAACATGCCTACAAATTATGATTTTACCACTAGACATCTCATAGCATTTAAAACCACGATGATTAGGGGCCGGGCCAAGATAAGCACAAGGGGTAGATCTTTCTTGCAACTTGTGAATAGTAGTAGATGGGAACAATGGGAAACATAGACATCCAAATACACGCAAATCCGAATACAAAGGGTCACTTTGATATAGGATTTGAGTGGGGGATAAGTAATTTAATACTTTAGAGGGAAGAATGTTGAGTAGGTATGTTGCCATGGAAAGAGCATGATGCCAAAATGAGAGTGGCATAGAGGCATGTGAGAGAATTATGCGGATGATATTATTTATAGATTTTATGTGCCTTTCGGCCTTTCAATTTTAGGGAGAAGGATGGGGATAAGAGAGGCGATGAAAGAACGAAGGCCATGTTGATCAAAGAATTGTTTAAGAGTGCCATTAACATATTCCGTTCCATTGTCACATTGAAAGGTTTTTATATTACGTTCAAATTGGGTCTTGACTAAAGCATGAAAAGATAAAAATAATTGCTTAACTTGTGATTTGTTAGCAATTGGAAAAGTCCACAAAAATTTGCTATAGTCATCTAAAAAAAGAACATAATAACGGTGCCCGGAATTGCTAGCAATAGGAGAAGTCCAAAGATCACTATGAATAATATCAAACGGCAAGAAAGTATATGACAATGAGTTATTAAAAAGAAGTTTAACATGTTTCCCAAGAGGAAAAGATGAGAAAAAAGATTTACAAGCCTTATTAAAATCAATAAACTTATTACTACGAAGAGTATTGATAATAGCATCGCCAGGATGACCTAAACGAGTGTGCCAAACATCATGAGATAAAGTAGTAAAAGCTGAATGGTTAGTTGAGGTGGCTTGTGAGTTTAAGAAGAGAGGATATAAGTCCCCGACACTGTCACATCTCATTAGTCTGTTCCCCCTTTGTAAGTCATAAACAGAAAAACCAAAAGGGTCAAAAGAAATAGAAACCATATTGTCAGTGGTGAACTTACGAACAGAGATTGGATTTTTAATGAGTTTAGGTGCATGCAACACATTTTTTAGGACAAAGGGAGGATGATGTGGTGGTAAATTAGTGCTACCGTGACCAAGAACGGGAACTAAATGACCACTACCAACTACAATGTTATGATTTTTATTGCTTGAATTGAAATAAGAGGAGAGAATACCTACATTCGCCGTCATGTGAGATGTTGCGCTGGTATCCATGTTATAGTTCCCATCGGGCTGTGAGAACGAAAAAGCATGCATGGCGGCTTCAATGTCGGTCAGAGTATAGCTGGCTGCAAAAGGATCCAAAACAGGAGCAATTGCATTGAATGCTTGAGGCCTCGGCCCAAGCACACCAGGGCCCACCATAAGATTTTTAGGCCGAGTATTGTGGTCTTAGCTGCCACGAATATGCAGGGAATGGACATGGTGGAATTGTCCACCCTCCCCAACTTGGCTGCCCCTGTGGCCACGGTGACTAGGCTTACTGACGTGGTTGTTGTTTCTGATTTGGCGGCTGATTGGACTGACCACCATTGGTCCTACCGTGTTGATTGGTCCCCTTCCCTTTCCCTTTATTTTTAGAGCTATTCGTGCGCCCTTTATTATTGTTGTTGTTTCGCTTGGGAACAGAGGAAGGAGAGTCAGTTGATGTAGCCACCAAAGCGCCGGTGCGGATCCCAGAGCCACCTGACTCGCGGGCTGTACAAGCCTTAATTGTACGCTCTGCCATCTTCAACCTTGAGCGACAGCTTTCAAAGGATGGTAACAACTCCTGGTTTTGGATAAAATCCACGGTGCCACTAAAAGCTTTCGGTAGAGAGCCGGTTAGCCGTAATACCAATCTGTTGTTTGACACTGGAGCATCAACGTCGGCAAGTCTATCGGCAATAGATTGAAGGTAGTTGCAGTAAGTGTCAATGGAGTTATGGTCCTCGAAGAGAGCATTGGTGAATTCCTCATCAAGGTGTGTAGCCCGAGACGCCTTATTGTCCTGGAATAGAGCTTCAAGGTGTTTCCATGTCGCCTTTGCAGTGTCATCACGTTTGAGGATAGCATAGAGAAGGTTAGAGGATATTGTGCCGTAAATCCATTTAAGGACAGTGGCATCAAGGCGTTTCCATAATGAGAGATCCTCGGATTTAGCCTTGTTATAAGCAGCCTTGGCTGCCTCCTCTGTTGGGGGAACCAGGTGATCATAGAGATCGTGAACCCTAGCAAGAATTTGTGAATAAGGCAGCCCAAGAATGGTACATACTCTGCTCGTTGTCTAACGTGACAGGGACAAGAGATTTCACATTGCTAATGGTAAGTGCAGGATGAAATTTCTGGGACTCGGCCATGGAGATGAGAGGAAGAAGAAAGAAGAGAATAGAAGAAGCTAGGGTTTAATGGAGAAAAGGATCGAAACCGTGTCTAATACCATTAAGGAAATCAATTCCGTGCCATTTCATTCCAAGTCACTTGAAATTATACAAAAATACAAGCCTCAAGCTAGGCTACAAAATCTCTAACTGATTATCCTAATCGGTAGAGTTGACTATCTATAAGATATACATACAAAACTAACTAAAGATATATACCAAAAACTATGGGTAACTAAATATAAAGATATACATAAATAATTATAGAATATATTGTAAATATATTCTAACATACTCTCACACAGAAAATGCGCTAACCGACTGAGTAAGTAACCCCTACAAGTAACTCCCAAATAAGTAACCCCTACAAGTAACCCCTAAGTAAGTAACCCCTGAATAAGTAACCCCTACAAGTAACCCCCGAATAAGTAACCCCTACTAGTAACACCTACAAGTAACCTCTGAATAAATAACTCATACAAGTAACCCTCAGTCGGTCAGGAGTTACTTTCACACAGAAAACATGTTAACCTACTGATCGAGTAAGTAACCCCTAAATAAGTAACCCATACAAGTAATTTTTGAATAAGTAACCCATACAAGTAACATCTGAATAAGTAACCCCAATAAATAACCCCTGTCACACGTTGTGGCCAGCCACACAGAAAAGTTGTTGTTCCATAAATACAACTACTTTTTTAAAAATTCTTTCATCCCCATATATCCCCCAACTCGCCAGCCACCACTGCTTGCAACTCAATCACCACATTCCAACAATTACCCCTCACCACCCATGCCCAGCCACCACCATCAAGTCGCCACTGACCATGTCAATAAAACTCGACCCCACCATCCCACCCTTCCTCTTTAAATTCTCCCAAGCAACCACCACTTCAAAGCGAGGGAACCGAGGAACAACAAGGAAGCATGGTTTAGGTTTGGCTAACGGTGGTTTGGGTGACGACGGAGGTTTGGCTGACAACTACGGAGGGGGGAAGAGAAGGAAGCCGACATTTAATTTGGGGATGTTAACCCCAAAATTGGTCAGGGTGGGGAGGGAGAGAACCAGATAAAGGGAAGGGTGTGGTCGACAGTGGAGGAAGGGGTCGGCAGGGGGTTGGTCGGTGGGGGGGCGACTGCCGGTGCGAGAGGAGAGAAGAAAGTGGACTGGGGTGGAAGCGTGGTTGACGGCGGCTTCTCTGCGGTGGTTTGGGGATTTTAATTGTTTTTATTAATTATTAATAAAATTACTTAATTATAAAATAACCAATCTTATTTTGACACTTGGCATAATTGACTCAAACAGTCGATTACCCCTAAAACCAACAGGTCACGACTCGTTTTGAGATAATATTATATAAAGGTCGACTTATTTTAAGTTAATTTAAAAGTTGACTTATTTTAAACTAACCGCGCAAAAATTGTTTTATTTTTGACAAATTTTCAAAAAAAATAAAACCTTGCATTCTGACTTTCTCATTCTCCTTCACTTTCACTTCCACTTTCTATATCGTTAAGATCAATAGACCCCCCACTCAAATTACTCTCATATTCAATCTACAAATTTCATTCTCCATGTCACATCATCTTCAAATTAAATCCATTTTGGGCATTGATTTTTTGGGCATGGATAATTAAAACTTCATGGGATTTTCTTGAAATTCCCTATCTCAATATTTTCAGTCAATTCTAAAACTCAACACCACCGCATTTCCGCCTTCGCCACTGCCAATCTTTCGCCTTCTCCACCGCCATACGCCACTGCCGATCTTCCGCCTTCACCACCGCCGTCCGCCGCTGCCTTTGCCGCCTTCACCACCAATTTAGTTTTTTTCACTTACCAAGATTTGATTTTGTTTTTTATTTTATGTTGCTTGGTTTGGAGGAGTATAATTAATTTTGCATCTGATTATCCCCGAATAATTGAAGATATTTTTGGAAAGAATTCTACATCCTTTCTTGTATTACTCATTTCCTAAATTTTTTTTTTTTTTATAAGTATCTAAAATGGAAACCGCTACTTGAGGGTTAGTTTGGCATTGTTTTTTTTTTTTAATTTTCTGTTTTTTTTTAAAAAAAACTAAAAAAGGAAACAAGAAAAAAGTGTTTTCACTTTTTTATTGTCAGTTTTCTAAATTATCACGATTGACTAATTTTTTATTCATTATATAACATATATCATATGATTTTGAAAATCAAAAAACCAAAAAACAGAAAACCACAACATTAACCATGTGATGTAAGCATAAACTAAAGAATCTAAGTGTTAAAAGTAAAGGTATATTGGGTATTTGCAGTGTAAACAGAGACATTTTGTTTCCTTAAATGGATATGGTGCAATATTTGTAAAACTTCCTTAAAAGACAAGTGATGCAATAATTAAAAAACGAAGGAAGTATACAATTAATTACTATTTTTTAAAAATAAATCTTTCAAAAAGTTTACTCATATCTTAATGAACATATACAAATTAAAGATGAGCATTGAATACTACAAAATTTAAAGTATAAAGAATAAAAAAAGACGGAGGAAGTATCTATGTTTTGACTGTGCACATTTTTAAAGATGTATTAACCATAGTTTTTTTAGCACCGTATTATTAACAAATTTTATAGTGAAATATGTTGTTAAATAAGCAGTTTGTATTAGATTAAAGTTTTATAATATCAACTTTTTCTGTTCTTTTATAATCGCAATATATGTTTGAAAATTTACGCTATTCACACACAATTTTTTGTTCGTCCTTTATGGTTTATACGTTAGAAAACAATATACGGAGTATTCATGTGTGATATTGTTATGTCTCAAAATATACTTTTATAATATCAACTTTTTATCATTTTTACTAAAATAATACAACTTAAGATATTTTAGTTATAAAATGTGCTTTGGCACAGGTGAAATCCCCATCATTGCAATTGAAAGTAAAACAAATGGAGGGAATATATTTAAGGTCAAATCAATGAATTTGACATGTGTGTCAAATTTCACCGTGTTAATTATTCTAAGAAAAAGGTATATAAAATAACAAAAAGTGGTGTACTATAATATTAGGAAATCGAGTGGTGTTGTGTTTGATTAATGCGGAACAAGTCAATGAAAATTAAGAACAAGACTAGCGATAAAAGAAAATAAACAAAGAAGACACAAGGATTCACGTGGTTCGGTCAAATTAGACCTACGTCCACATGTGGGCGTATTCGAGAGGTTCTTCACTATAATGGAGAAAGAACGAGAGAATAATACAAGAAGTCCTAATATTAGTGACTCTCTTAATTGTGATCTAATTAATCGCCTAAAAGGTCCTTTTATAAAATAAGATAACACTAATAAACCCTAAATTATTCCCCAAATTTGAATCAAATAGCTGCCATAGAAAAAATATAATATAGTTTTAGGAAACATTATGTAAAATACGCTATGCTTCAAATTGGACCAAAAACGTCTCACTCGACCAGGTACAAACATGCCATGCAGATTACATTCCATACATGCCCCTTCCAAAAGGCCAAGGCAGAAACTTCAAATTTAGAAAGTCTGACCAGGCACGAACGTGCCAACTTCGTTAGCAATGTTCCAGCTTCCTCAATACTTAGTAAAACTGCCATTACTTTCTCATTTCTAATCGGAATTGTGCGTATGGGTATGACCAGTCGTTAGAGAACTTTTGAAACACGAGTTGTCACCTACAACTTGAATCACCTCATAATTACTTAATGATTGAGAGATATCTGCATTTAAAGTCAGCTCTACTAGATTTCGAATCACAAATTAACATAATTTATTCTTGATACCATTGTTGCTTTATTAGTCATGCATGCAATTATTACTACTTTTTTTTTCTTTTTTTTTTTTTTTTGTTTTTTTGAAAGATACTTCCTCAGTTTAATTACACCTATCATTCTAAATTTTACAATATTTATCATCCTTAGTCGTCTACTTTGTGCGGAATACATAAGAGATTAGTCCCAATAATACACACTCGATCTAACACTCGTTCAATAATCACTATCCAAAAAGGGGGGGGGGGGGGGGGGGGGAAATCTGACATGACCTATATACATATCACAAGTGAAAATGATTGTTGGTGAGAGCTCGCTATCAATGGATTCATATGAGACCGTCAATTATTTTTTACATATTTTTTTTATGGATCAAACTAATACTACTAATTATTGTACTACGTTAATTTTGCCTCACCACAATAATTATTGAGATCAATGGGTTTGTTTCTTGCTAGCTTGATTTAATTGATGTGATGGATTTGAACACGAGGCTCAACAAAGCAAATTTTAGCTATAAGCATTGTAAATTATACTTGTAATTATTTTTGTTACTTAGCCCTATAGTATAATATTTCGTATTTGGTTTAATTGATTGGGCAAAAACTCCACCGCGTTTGTCACCCAATTGATAATTTAGGCGTTGGGGTAAAGGATATATACTCCTCGTGTATAAATAAATGAAACGTTTTGCCTTTTTGCACTATTTATCTAATTCATTTTGACTAATATTGTGATTTATACGTAAAAATAAATATAATCATGTGAGTACTTGTTGGAATCGTCTCAATCAATAGTTTATTAATATTCAATTGTTGTAATTTTTAATTTATTTATTGATAACTAAAGATATTTGAAGTCACAGTTTTGCAATGGCATATGTACACAAGAGAAACATTTCATTTATTTAAACACAAAGGGAGTAACAATCTCGTAAAATATAGATCATTATCCCTTAAAGTAACAAGTTGATGTAATGAGCCTAACAACAATCAATAACTATATACTAAAAGACACACCAGCAATGACACATGTCAATTTCTGGTGTGTTCTTAGTATATTTTTTTTTTAATAATTAATTACTAAATATTATTTAAGGAAGTTATTTAAAAAAAAAAAGTTTGTTTTTTTGGCAACTATATAAATGAGCAATAATATTTACCATTTTTATGTTGATACTCAATTAATTACGGAATA